GTGATGCTTTTTTTGCCGATTTGAACTCGGACGACGAGGATGTTGCCATGACGTGTTTTACCTGCCTATTTTGAACTAAAAGTGTGACTCCGGAGCAGTTTCCTCTGTTTTTTTTTTTTGAAAGGATGCTGGACCTGGTTTCCAGCCAGTTTTTTTATCACTTCTTCTGAGGATACTGGACCTGCTTTCCAGTCTGATACCCAAGATAGGATGCTGGACCTGTTTTTCAGCAATCCGTTCTTTTTTTTTTTTTTCCTGCTAGAACATGGAAAGATGCACCTCCTTTTTTTTTTTTTTTTTTTGGGTTGGGGGGTTTTTTTTTTTTTTTTTTTTTTAGAATTCGTCCTCACCATTTTTTTTTTTTTTTTTTTTTTTTGGGGGGTGGGGGCCCCTAAATATTGTCGGATCAGTAGCTAATTGAATGAGGCTGGGAATCCCTCAACATCTCAACCCGGTAGGGAAGCTTGTGCTGGAAACCAGGTCCAGCGTCCCATGCTCTGTAACTACAAAGAAAGTGAGCAACTGGAGCAAAACTTCTGGGAATCCAGAATAAAGGGAGCAAAATAGCCAAGAACTACTGAAGAATTCATATTCCTGCTAATCTCTCTGGGAGACTTACCCAGCTTCGCTTCAAGATCTTACAGAAAAGAGACCAAGTACGGATCTGTAAACTCAAGGAAGCCTGAACCGCCAAGCCGGGTTTCCCACCACGCACCCCTTTCTTTTTTTTCTTCTTTTTTTTTCAGTAACAATATCAATCAACGGACCAAGATCACTATGGATACAGTTCAAGTTTGCTCCCTACCCTATTTATGCTAACTACAAGCAAGGAGCGTTCCCACCACTGCCGGTAGCACTCACACTGCCTCCGTAGTGCCGCTACCCACACTGCCTCCGTTAACAGCACTCAAAAAAGCAAAACACCAATATCGATATCTGATCCACAAGACCAAATCTACTGTCAAAGACCTGGGAGCCAAGGCAAAGTCATGTGCCAGCTAGATCATCACACCAACAAAATCCCTCTTCTCCATCAGGGCTACTCTCTCATTATGGCTTTCCAAACGCCCTGTAAAGAGCCCGAGCTGCCATGACGGGTTTCCCACCACGCTCCCTCCTTGGATCTTCATGGCATATCTATCACAATGGGAACAACTCAAGTTTGTTCTTCACCGGTTCTCACTTACCACCTGACCAGTAGCGTTCCCACCGCCCCTCGTTGCACTCTCACTGCTCCAGGTGGCGCTGCTGCTAGTAGTTCCAAGAGTTTCCCTCTGAGTCACTCTAAAACTCCTAAACCTGCGTCCCTGTCTTGATCTTAGGGTGCAGCTATAAGCAGAGAAAAGCTCCTTAACAATGGAGTGAGTTCGAAACACAAAGAAATCCCGATTTTAGAGGATAGGAGATGAGGAGAGATGAGATGAGAAGAGAGAAAAAAAAAACATAAAAGAAAAGCAGACCCGCTAATATGAGTCATCCTTTTTTTTTTTTTTTTTTTGAGTCATTCTAATCGGCCTCAGGACCAAATTTCCCACAATCGTGAATGCGCCCTAAAGTCTATCCCCAGACAGGGCGAAGTAAAGAGCAGGCGAATTGAAATTAAGATATCCCCTGATGTCACTATATGCAGGAAGAGCGGTGCAGAAATAAGCAAGAAGAGAGCAGCCGGTCCCATTTCGACCTCTCTCTCTCTCTCTCTCTCTCTCTCTCTCTCTCTCTCTCTCTCTCTCTCTCTCTCAAGCCAAAAAACACGTCCCAGCAGAAAGGAGGTAAGAAAAAGTAACAGAGCAGTAGTCCGCAAGTGGCCACTTCACGCAGGCAAAAACCGTTCGTGACTGCTTTTATTGCCATCACAGAGCATATTCTGAAACCCCTCATCGCTATTCTCTTCTGGCTCCAACAGTACTTAGGCTGCCGGCAGTCAGACAGGTGAAGAGACACTCCAGATGTCCCG